TTCTTTTGAATAATTCTTGAAGTCCTAGAGCTAGCGCAAAGGCAAAATGTGGTCCATCTATATTCAGGTTTAACACCGTCAGATTCAGTCAGGAGCTTAAGAAAGAATCCCTCATTGTCGAAATTGAAGGATTTATACATGAATAATCATGATTGCTAATACTGACGACTATACGTTTAAAATATTACCAGATTTTTTTTTTTTTTGGTTAAATAAATTAAAATTATTTAATTGGCTACAAACTTGGACGTCATTATTTTCGAAGCGTAGCAAATTTTTTTTAGTTTTTTAGAAAAACTGGGGAGGTTTATTTTTTTTTCTTTTTCTTTAGACCATTCTGAAAAAGCTATGACCGTGTTCGTTTTTTTCGAAGAGTAAGTATATTAAAATCAGAGATTGAACAAACTTTGAGCAAGTCTCTAATGTTGTCATTGAATAGGTTAATGTGTCAATTGACACTGCTTGTGTTCTTTCTTTCGGCTTTTTCTTGGTTTTGGGCGAAGCGTGTCCTTTGTTTCCTTCGGGAAATTATTACTGGTGTCTTTTCTCCTCTTTGGCTCTTTCTCGTTGCTCGTCGACCCCGACAACGAATTCCACCGGTGCCAATTGGTGAGATTTATGTCCTGGGTCCCAATGGCATTAGACCCGTCAACGCCATTGACCAACCACCTGTTGCTTCTTTGGCTTCTCCTTCTGTCCCTGCTCGCCTGGCTTCTCCTTCCCCTACGTTGCAATCAGCTCCGGCTGTTACTTCGTGGCGTCGTGAGATTGCCGTGGAGTCGGTTTCTTTGATCCCGTCGCCTCGTGCAAACAGTTCTTCTCTTGCGGTTTCTTTCCCTTCGGGGGATAACGCATACACAACGGTTTCTTTCCCTTCGGGGGATAACGTTGTTGAAGCGGTTTCTTCTCCTTCTGGAGATAACGCTTTCCTTGCGGTTTCTTCCTCTTTTGAGGATAACGCAACCACAACGGTTTCTTTCCCTTCGGGGGATAACGTTGTTCAAGCGGTTTCTTCTCCTTTCGGAGATAACGCTTTCTTTGCGGTTTCTTCCCCTTTTGGGGATAACGCACCCACAACGGTTTCTTTCCCTTCGGGGGATAACGTTGTTCAAGCGGTTTCTTCTCCTTTTGGAGATAACGCTTTCTTTGCGGTTTCTTCCTCTCTTGAGGATAACGCACCCACAACGGTTTCTTTCCCTTCGGGGGATAACGTTGTTCAAGCGGTTTCTTCTCCTTCTGGAGATAACGCTTTCTTTGCGGTTTCTTCCCCTTCGGGGGATAACGCAACACCAGCGGTTTCTTTCCCTTCGGGGGATAACGCTGCGGAAGCTATTCCTTCTTTGATGGAGGATATTGCTTCCTTTCTTGTGTCTTCGTCCTTGGATGATGACACTCATCCTGCGGTTTCTTTCCCTTCGGGGGATAACGCAATCAAAGCCATTCCTTCTTTGATGGAGGATATTGCTTCCTTTCTTGTGTCTTCTTCCGTGGAGGATGATACTGATCCTGCGGTTTCTTCCCCCCTTGGGGATAACGCTGATCCTTCCGTCGTTGGTGGTTCGTCGGTTGGAATTGGATCCTTGGAAGTACCTCTTGTCTCTCCTGGTTCGGTCGCCAGCGTGGAATGGCCCGGTGTAGGTTCTGTCTCGCCCTCTCCGGTTTTTTCTTGCTCTCCTTCTGCCTCTCCCGTTGTGGCACCTGCTTCGTCTTCTTCGGTCTTGGGTGTTGGAGCAGCTATGGATGAGTTGAGATCTCTCCCGCCCTCCTCTTCCGTCACATCTGTGAATTTGGCGTCTCCTCCTGTTTTTCCTCGGCCTTCTCTTTGGCTTTCTTCTGCTGGTGAGCCTTCTGAGGAATTGCGCTCTCCCTCGCTCTCGCCTATTCTCAGACAAGGGAATCTCGCTTCGCCCGTTTTTCGTCCGCTTCGTTCCTTCCGGGAAATCGTTGACGCCGCTCCCCCGTTGGCCAGTTTGTCTTTATTGCCAAAGACTCCGGTGTGGTCTCCTGTTGCTTCGTCTTCTGCTTTGGAGGATCCAAAGGTTGGAGAAAAAAGAAGATCCCGCTCTCCTTCTCCCCGTTTTTCCCCTCGTCGCCGGGTAATGTCTGTTCCTGCTGAGGACACGTTTTCTTTGCCTCCGCCCGCTCTTTCTTCTGGTGTCGGTGATGTTATGGCTTCTTCGGCTTCTCCGGTGTCTTCGGTTTCTTCTGCGGCCTCTGCGGTGACTTTTGTTGCCACCCCTTCTTCTTTGTTTTCTGCTGCTGCTGTTGCTGCACCTGCAGTTATCGTTGCTTCTCCCCCTTCTCCTGTGCTTTCTGGTGCTGCTACAGTCAGCGTGGCCAGTGTTGCTTCCTCTCCTTCTCCCCGGCCTTTTTCTTCCTCTTTGCGTGTTGACGAACCGGCAACCTCCCATCCCATGGTTCGCCGAACTCGTTTCTCCTACGCTGGATCTCCCTGGCAAAACTTGGACCCTGAAAAATTCAGGGATCCATTCTGCAGAACAGGTACGTATCTCTATTTTGAAAATACTTTTTAATCAGTTTACTAATTGACCATCATACCGTTTCAGAGCAACAGGAACAGAGAAAATGTTTTTTTACTCGTCCTCCTGGTCCATCCAGGTTATAATAAACCTTTTTTTTGTGAACAAGAATTTTGTATATACGAATGACTATGGAGTTTTATTTAGATTGGCTAATGGGTGCATTTGGAACAAAGACATTGTGGTTATTAACATAAAGAAGAGAGGTTGTTTGTTCAAGCGTTTAAGTGTAACTAAAAGGATTCGGCCTTAAAAAGAAATAGTGATAACCCATTATGACGTTTCCATAGAAATCACTCATTTCCATAGAAAGCGTGACACTACAATAATTTCGGTTTTTAAGTGATTGCAGTTATTTATTGAATTTGCTAATCTAATTACATGCAATGACTTATAAGAAAGACTTAATGGAAAACGTTCTTGGGCAGCATTAATCTTGTTTAAATGGACCTCCTAACTAATAAAAGTTACATATGTATGATATGGTTTACCTTTACTTGATTATAGAAACTAGATAGGTTATTTACCAACATTAATGGCTCCAAACACATTTTTTTTTGATCGTTTAGAGAAATTTATTTTTCCTGCATATCAATTTTTTTTTTTTTTTTTTTTTTTTTTTTTGGTAAATTGGCTTCTTGTACTTAAGTATGAGGTTTCAGTTTGAGCTATACACATTTTTGTGTTTGTACAAAAACTCATATTCCCTTGTATCGGAATGCTGGTAATGGTACCGTTAAGCAATGAATGCTTACTTTCCATCCAGTTCAATTCGTCATTCGCTTTTCTAATTAAGCGCTTATGAACGTCATTAGGAGTGTGTTACTAGTACTGTATGGTTTAACTATGTAAATAGTGTTTATTCAGGACGTTCTGTTGGAAAGCACGTCCTGGTGATATTTTTAAAAAGAAAATTCATGGTTTATTATAGTATACGTCTGACGAGGGCAAGATGTTATTTATGGATATAACTGTTTATGACAAGCGGAAAACCTCAGCATAAAGTATTTTAAGCTGACACTTATAACCAGCCAAATAAACAATGGGGCTAAAGAATTTCGGTAACGCTTAAGCATATACTTTGTTTTTCTCGTCAGCTTTCATTGTGTGGCTTTAAGATTGTTAATTTTATTGCAACATTTCAGTTAAATTTATTGCAGTAGCTAGAAGCCAAAACCATGTAAATAATCTATAAATACAACAAGGAAGTAGTCAAACGAAACTAAAATTCTTGCGAAAAAAAAAGAGCTGCAACTGACCATTCCCCCTTCTTTTAAATACCCTACTATTGTTATTAACATTATGGCGGACATACCAGCAGCCGTGAATTAAATGGAAACATAACTGCCATTTTTTTAATTTGCTCCATATCCCCAGCCAATAAGATTCGAGCAAAAGATTGCTACAAATGATCATAATATCATAAAAAAACAAAAGTGCTTGTTGTGATCGAGCTTTATATATTCATGTATGCTTGATCTACACAGCGTATTTTTATCCATTACGATAATTTTATAAACACTTCTTTTAATGTTGCATATTAAATATTCACAATTGACTTAACAAACTAGCACGATATTCATCAAGCTAAATACAAGTACAAAAGTATACATTTATTATACAATTATTCTAAAAAGACATTATTAATATATTATACTAATCAGATTAGCGGAGGCCAATGACAAGCGAGGTTTAAAAGTACAAACATGATAAATTTTTGAATGTACTTTGATGACTTTTAAATGTACGCGTCAAGTGACACTACAGACCTATTATAGAAACGTGTACCACTCTTTCTTCTATTATATGATTCTTATTGGATTACTTACTTTCAAGATATGGCATGTCAGTCATAATCTTGCCTGTCATCTAGCCCTGTCTAAGAAGGAGGTCGAATTCAATATGTATATAAAGGACCCCTAAATTTTATGTTAATAAAAGTTCAGTTAATTTTTGCAATCTGGTTAATCTTACTTGTCATTTTTCCTAAATTATCATCGATTTATCAGTGCTTCAAAAACATTTCTGGAGCCGTCAATATGTAGTTTAGATGTTATAAAAACTATCTCGAAGTTAAAATTAAATTGCTATATGCCAAAAATTTGATGCAATATTGATCTGAATTTGATGGGTTACGGTATAAAAAATAATGTTTTGAGCCTGTGAAGCAAATGATAACAAACTACCATTTTTTTATTATTTTAAAAACCAGATTTATTTATTTATTTTTTTTAAAAAAAAAAAAATTCTTTTTTTCGTTTCTGTGATTCTTTTATTATCATTTTGCCCCAAGAAAATATGACCTTATTCTATTCGACATGTGTTCCATAAAAAAAAAAGAAAAGTAATGAAACGAATGGCAATTACAAAAACTTACAAAATGGAAAGGTTTCCTTTATTTGCTTGAAGATTATTGTTAAATACATAGTAGGGGGCAATGACGTAGAACTGGTTTCCATTGGGAGGAAACTCAATTAACCCAACTTGATGTTCAATGTCTGCCACGATGATGACCGCGAATGTTGCTTGCCCTGATCCTGAACGAGCCTTGACAATTGGAACAGAGTTGTCGTGTCGGGTGACGTCGTGGTGTTTCATGACTTCCACTAGCGCCAAAAAACTGTCGGATGTTATTCAAGTCAACATGCTTGAAAAAAACTGAACAGCACCTACAAGCCAACAGCGAAGGGAAACGTGGAAGTGGCTAAGGTAAAAATAGAAAAAGAAAAAGGAGTTAGAAGCTAACTCAACGAAAACAGGAATCGACTTGCTTTTTATAGCTGGTGGTGAACATCACGTAATGATTTCCCCGACTTATCTCGTTCCTTTGTCTTCGGTACATGCGGGAGGAATAAACATTGTTATTTATCCAAGCACGAGAAGCAATGGCAATTTCAGAATCACCGAAAGAAGTAGCAATATTAACACCACTAAATCTTCCGTAATATCTAGATAAGGCATCCTTTACTCGGCTGCATCTGATATCTTCTATCATCTCACCATCCAGAGAGGCATTACCACCAAACGGCGCCCAAAGCTGCACATCATCCAGGCTATCAGGAAGATCCATGAAATCGATGTCACCTGGTCCGGCTGGTACGATCAAATCAATTTCCCTCGTAATATCGATAATGCCGTTGATGAAATTACGAATTGCAAATCTTTCAATGAGCATACTTGAATTTCTACCGCCCATGCTTCTTGATTTAATTAGTTTCGAGTATACACCAATCACTCTCTCCATGGATCTTGCAGAGTGACACCTCAAGGGACCTTGTTGCTTGATGATGTATGTAACGTGAATCAAGTAATGTTGGACAGGACGAAACACGCTCCGAGAGATGTTTTTCAGATTGACTTGCTCCAGAAGATACGTGTGCCAAGTCGCAAAGAATCTGTCAAAGGTAATATATTTCCGTTAAATAACTGATATACCAATACTTTAGTATACTGACTTACCCCTCCATTTCATTGATAAGATCTGGTGTAAGATCCCACTGCATCGAAGAGCACAACCTTTGACCAAGCCCAAGACGTTATTTTTGGCAGACCTGTTAGGCAGGTAGGGCACAACCAGTGTGGGAACAATGTACAAAAGGAAGTCCAACCAATCCACCGCACGTGTACCATCAATCTTTTCAAACACATTGTCGCAGCTACCCTGGAAAGAAACGGGGACATGCTTTCTCGATGACGTGATGCCATCCCCAATAATATCCAAATTGTTTCTTGAGATGTAGAAAGGATAGTTGGCGATTGAGACAGTTTTAT